GGGACTCGGAGCGCAAGGGTAAAGTCGTCGAGTCGAGTGCATGTTTCAGAGCCTCTGTGCTTGTATATACTCTTGGAAAAAGTGCGAGACAAATTTTACATTTTATCGAACGATATTATTTGCTTCACGAATGATAAATGACAATGTTTAACTCGAAAGAGAAAAGAATTCATACACTGTTTGAAAAGACTGATGGAGAAACACCGCGTATGGAACGGAATGGCGAGCCACTGCAACCCACCACACACGCGTAACTTGTCAAACTTCATCATAGTTCCGTACGCGAATTCGTGCGGGGAATCAGATTACGCAATTGTACCGGTGCAACGTTGACATGCGAGTTACAAACGTACCTCCCTCCAATTTTGCAGTTGATACAATATATATATAATTTTTGATAGCGATCATTCGACTCTGTACTTTAGTAGATATAATGTTATTGAGATGATGAAACAATCACGGTTATAGTATCGCAAGTTTTTCTCATCGATTATGCAATTTCAAGCAGTTTCAATAAGATATGCCAGATTGTTATTTATGAGTATAGTAACGGGTTAATCCAACGTCATAAAAAGGTATAATACTCACCGCGCATCTACTCTGCGTGTTATCTGAATCCTTATATCGTTTCGATTGTTTCCTGAATATTTCAGACTCATGATTTTCGTCAAAAGTGGAAGGCAATACCATTTCTGTAACGAAATCATTTCAAGCATCTTAATGCTGTGATGTATATTCAATTTTTTTTGTTGCACTAGCGTAATGTCATTTGTTTCTGTACACGTTTCAGAGAAATTGACTGGACTGAAGTTTTTGGAGTCTTTTTTTTTATTATTGACTTCATTCAGCGTGAATTTTTCGGTCAACAAACGTGAATGACTAAAAATCATAGTCTGTTTTGTGAACAACATTTTTCTGCTGGGTGGAAATTTCAATTTAAATAACAAAGTTTGTTATTGTTGGGCCCCCCACTTTACGGTAAAGTACGTTAAATTTTTTGATCGCTAACGTTTTATACCAGAAAAGTTAAGAGATGTGTATAAACATCCTTGTTAGGTGTCCTATAAATTAAAAAATTTGTAGAGGCACACCTTCAGATAAAAGACTTTTATCTTTTATGTGCCTTCAGGAGTAAGAAAAAATTCTTAAACATAAAACAAACAAGGTGTGACATACTTTTTAAAATATTTTCAAGTTGTATAATCTATTATGTATGACACATGAAAAGGCCCATAGATTCTTTGTCTTATTCCGAGAAAAAATAATTTAAGATTTTTTCCTAATACAGCTCATGAAGTTCTTAATGAAATTTTTTTTTTGAAATTTTGAAGCACGCCATTTTTTAATACTTTGAAAGTTTTCAGCTCATCGAAGGTGATACACCTTCTGGGCGCGCTACGCATCTATCCTCATAATTTTTTTTTTTTTTTTTTTTTTCTTTATATGCTTTGATCAACACTNACATCTATGCGATAGTATATAGTTATTATAGTTATTCTTAACTTTTTACACTTTTTTTTTTTAACATTGCTGATCAATTGAAAAACTCAAAAAGGCCAAATAAGTAAGTGTTCCATACCCCATTAATTTTATTATTTTTTCTGCATTTCCAGATAAATGTAGAAAATAGAAGTCTTTACCAGAAAGACGTGTATTTGTTTTCCCTAATCAAACAATTTTATAAAATTATACTTTACCCAAGTTTTTGTTCAAAACTTTAAACGATTCGCATGATTGCTTAAAGCTGATATGTATCAATTTATAACAAATTATAATTAAAAGAGTACGCACAAAGAGTCAGAATAATGGAAAAAATTATACGGATTAGTGTTGAATAAAAAAACTTTTTTACATGCCATTATTCCTCATCATTTTCAGTAGTCATCTCTAAAGTTTTAGTCATTTGTATTTTGTTAGATTGCTCAAAGGTAAATTTGTAAATATATTTAAAAGTAAAGTATAATTACCACTTTTTCCCTCGAAATTCCAAACCATATCGAGAACACTCGGCATTTTTTCCATCGACTCTTTCATCTCGATGCAATATCTGTAATCTCATGAAAACAGATTTTTGCCATTTTAATTCGGATTGAATAAAAACATCACCATTCCGATCACGAAGTCAATACCAAACCCACCTCGAACAACGAATGCTCCCAACATTGTACTCTTCGATGTGCCCTTCGAATCTTTGCAACACCATCTCGTCGTTATCATCCAAAAAACTCCACAGCTTCGTCGGTCTGATTTCGGATCCACCGATTGCATGGTCATCACCACTCGCACAGTTCGTCATTTCAGAACTAAAAACCAACATCCCAACTGCCACCCCCAACATGGCGTAACCAACACTTGACATAATTATAAAAAATAGACAACTACAATAAACGTCCTCGTTCTCGACACGCACGATCCCGAACTGCAGGTTATCGTCGCCTAAGCCTGTTACTTATAAGCTCGCTGTACCTCAAAACTTGTACCACACGTATGTGTTTTTTGTGTGTTACAACGTTGACGGAAGAGAATATGACGGATGCTATGGATTTACGACAGTTGATGTCGCGTTTGTGCCGCGTAAGAGCAAACTTGGGTGGCGCTACAGATGAGACACCCATAGTCGTACGTGCCGATACCGCGTCTTCCCATTGTTGCACAACTATTATCTGTACGATTTCATTATTTTTTTTTTCTTTCCTTTTTTCCCTTCCTTTTCTCTTATTTGACTCAATGGCACGTACTTCGCGTCCTGTTTTGATTTTGTGAGTTTTTTACCCGCTCATTGGTGTGTGTGTGTGTGTGTGTGTGTGTGTGTGTGTGTGTGTTATTGTGTTAATATGGAGCTTTTTTCTATTGTTGCGGGATGTCAAGGCTTGTCCGATGAGTCTCCATGCTTGTTTGAAATTGAATGTTGGGTAATTTTTTGTTAGCCGTACATGGATTATTTATCACTATACGGTTTCTTACCGATCCCCTTACAATGATTCACATTTGATTTCTGAAAAGGCGTGGATGTTGAAAGGATTTTTTTTATTCTTAAAATTGAAACAATTATCGATAAATACTTTGAAAGCACACAAAAACACTTTCATAATTATTTTGGATTCAAATTTGGATCACAATAATAAATAAAAAAAGTGTTTAACCAAGGGTTTGCAAATTAAATTAGACGTCCAAATATCTGCAAACTGCTTAATGTTGTATGAGCTTTTTAGTGTTAGTTTTTTAGATACATCTGACGTATAAAATTTTCTTTTTTTTCTATAAAAAACTTTAAACAAATATTTCTCTTCTTTTATAACGATTTTGACAAATGACCTGATCTGAAATTTGGAAAAACTTTCTCGACCGTTTAATTTGATTTTTACTGCAGCTGTTTTTCGCGTGTTTAGTTATGTTTTATTACTTTATGTACGTAGAAACTAAAAAAATTTGTTGAAAATGAAGTTTTTCACGTGGTCTTCATCAAAAAGAGTGTATACTATACTGTCAGAAGATGGTCCAAAGGTATATTTTTACATCATGGTTTCCTAACATCATTTTGCATTGCCCTTTTTGGAGCTTCAACACCTTTAAATATAATATTTAAATAATTCATATCGTAACAATTAAGAATCAAGGATATTTAAAACAAACCAAAGGAAACTATTTTTTTATATACATAAATTACTTGTAGGAACCCTATATTATATACGTCATACAATCAACCTCGCAGCACCAATATAATTCCTACGAAGCGAGCATATCCTGTTAAATATTTATTCAGCGCGCAAATTATCAGGGACACCTTGCAGGCTGCGCTCATGTTTGAACTCAAGTAATTCTACGGAAAAATCGTCACCTTCCTCCGGATAGCTTGGAAATACCACGTATCTTAGATAAAGCGCGCCTAGTATATGTATGTATACATCCCTCACCGTTCCACAGTTGACAATGTAGTACAAAGAAAGTGGAACGTGATCTTACGGCTTACGTAAATGCCGTAAAACGCGTCGTATTTTTTTTGACTCGATATGTGGATGCAAAAGTGAATGGCTTTTTTTTGCACTGCTTTTCGTACAGTCATCGGATTTCCGATATTAGGTAATAATATTACGTCGAAGCTCTATACAAACTGCACTGTCGTCATAACATTCAACGTTCAGTCTGATTTTTTCCAGCTTTTTTCTGTACTGTACGGCTTCACAACATTTGGAACCCACTTAACACTTTGAAACAAAATTATGTTTTACACGCACCATCAAAATTTTGACAAAAAATAAAAATATAATAAATAAAATCAAATACCGAACTTGAAATTCACACGTAGGAAACAAATAAATTAGTTTTCACACGTGTTGTTGTACGGAAGGAATACGAATTTTAAAATAATTCTCTATACATTTGGTACATCTATGCGATAGTATATAGTTATTATAGTTATTCTTAACTTTTTACACTTTTTTTTTTTAACATTGCTGATCAATCATAAAATGTTAAAGTTTTATAGGATTTTCAAATATTAAACAAAGCAATGGTTATTGGAGAAATTAATTATTAATTGTAAAATAGAACAGGTTGTAAGACACTGGGAGGCACCAATTACCTTTATATTGATCAAGATTTTAACAATCGAACTTCACATATAAAGTTTATAATTGCAGTCATGACTCGAAAACAAGCGTCGAGGCTTAATATACATTTAGAATCACGGTCGGCTAAAATTAAACAACGCAGACGGACAATCTCACGCCAGACTATTGTGTCGAGACAAAACGATTTTCAATTATGCATATATACATTTATTGAGCAAAGTTTTGACTCAAAACATTATTTATACCCGTTGATAATTAAGCTTGACTTGATGAATCGTATTGCTATCTAATACTCCAATAATATTAACTTCTAAAATAAATTTAACCTTTTCTTAATTTAGACGATTGAGAAATTTTATCAAAATCTCACGTAGTTAATCAAGGCCAACCTTCTGCAAAGTTGAAAAAAAATTCTCGTAATATTTCTAGAGCCTGAGCCAACTGTCAAGCCCAACAGCTCCCTAAGCCAACAGCAGCCGAAGCCGCAAACAAGCGCATCCTCGCCAAGCCACAGTTTCCAAGTAGCCACTCCTCAAGCTCAGTCTCCACAACAGGCTCAGCCGGCACAACCGGCACCGCTGAAGCAGAGCTACTTCACATCGATTCTTTCCTCGCTACCGAGTCTCTCGTTAATTACGGGTCAGGAGGATTCTAGACCCAAACCAAGTCCCATCCCATCCAACCCTAGTCCATCTTACGGTTCTTACGGAACCCAACAGCCCGTACAGATTGGAGGTTATGGACACCAGGAGGTAGACAGTGATTTTAAGACTACAGTTGGCTTTGTTGACGTTGGACAGGGAGTCTCAGGCTCATCGTTTCAGGCTCCCAAGTTGACACCTACTCAACAGCCGCCGACTCAGCTGCCACCTACTCAGTTGCCACCCACTCAACTACCTCCTGTCTTTCCACCTAGTGGAGGTAAATGAAGGGAAAATCAAATAATCACCAATTGAACTATTAGCAGTTCTTGATTTTCAACAAAAAAAAAAAAAATTGTTTAACAGGAGCTGCATCCTACCGGCTGGGTAATCAGCGCCGCCTAAAGTATGCGCCACCTCCAGATCTAACGTCAACGGTCCAGCAGCACTACCAGCCACCCCCTGCTCTATTATCTCAACCCAATCCGTCCACTGTTCCACCAACATTCTTTAACCCCAACACTCAGTCAATCCAACCTAATCTTAACAGCCAGCTATCAAGCTCTATCCCGGCCCCCCTTAATCCTTACAGCCAATCGAACCCTTATTCTCAATCGAATTCCTATGTCCAACCAACTGGTCAGCCGTTTAGCACCCATAGCCCATCCCTGGTGCCTCCTCTGAGTGGGACACCCTCCAGCCAAGGAAGCTCACTGCACAACTCTTTCCGTAGCAGTCCCGTTAACACGTATAACACGCCTGCACCGCCGACAAGCAACTTTGCCGAAAGTGCACCGCAGTTGATACCTTCGAGACTGATCGAGCCCTCGACTCCGCAAAATACACCTGCTGATGCCTTCTCGGGATTCAGTAGTTTCCGCCAGCAGCAGCAAGAGTCAAACTTATTAGGCTTCGGTGGTGTGAGCTTGGAAAGTTCGCGACCCCAGCTCGAGGCCATTCAGGAGTCCGTCGGTGTGCCAAGCTCTGATAGAACCTTTAGTCCGATCAACGCGGCTAAGGTGACCGAGAAGCTCGAGAATCTAATCGCCGCTGAGCAAAACGAAGACGCATTGTCCGTCAAGTCTGAGTTGTCCACCGAGGTCGCTAGAATCACTGCCGGCATACCACCTCCCGGCTCCCAGCAGATTATCGATTCTACCGTCACCGGTGAACTTACAGAGATCGATCTTAGTGCTGCTGTTGTCGAACCTTCAGACTTTTTAGTTCCAAGTAGTGATGACGTTAGCTGTCACTTCGACATATCCAAGGAAAATCCGTCTCAGTTGGAAGCTGAATTAGCTCTTCGAGAGGAATTGAGAAGCAACGACCAACAACGCCCGAGCTATTTCTTTGAATCACCAGAATTGGGATTACCAAGTGCACAAGAACCAAGCTTTTACAGCAACAATCCTTCTTTCCAGACTGGTCGACAGCCTTTCGCTGATCCATTTTCAATTGTGCAGTCATCATCCCGTAGCCCACAGACCGACGTTCAACACAATTTGTCCGTGACTACAAGGTCGATTGCTGACGACAGTGGTGCTACGCATACTTCGAGAGCAGAACCAAACAAGTCACGCGAAGGTCCTAGTTTTTCTGACCAGTTATCGTTGGCACCGTCATCGATTTGGGATTCTGGAAATCAGAACCAACAGTTCAGTCACCCAGTCACCTACGGTGCACCGTACCAACAGCATCAACCGCAACAACAACAGCTTTCGGGACCACCAACGTTCTTTAATCCCACACAATTCGCAGCCCCGTCATCAAATTTCCCAGTTCCAAATCCTTCGTCGGCCTCTAATGTCCCAGCGTTCCTTACTGGTGGATTCACTACCACTGACGGCAATATCCTATCGAGTAAAACTCAACCACTGCAATCATCAGCCAGTGCACCGTCATTGCAGGACTCGGTGTTTAATGCGGTGCCTGAGCCCACGGGATCCGCCACCCTTAGTCCAGTTCAGATTTCCGTTAATCCTTTGACTAATCGCCCGTCGCAGGATACTATACCGCCTAGTTTGGAAAATTTAGTGAGTCACACAAGTGTGCACGTGCAAACAACTTTGAATGCATTAAATAACCAAGTATTATTTTGGGATATACAGGCAGCAGGTCTCCCAGAGAAGAAGATGCAGTACCGACCAGTTTACCATCACTGGTTCTACCGTCGCGAGGTGGAGTCCAAAATACTGTGGGTTCCATTTTCCATGCACGACAGCTTGAATCTCGAAGAGGTGCACAACTCAAACGAGATAACCCCGGAGACTAAGGTCGCTACGGATGGTGGTCGCTACGACGTAGAAATTTTAAAGTACACAAATCAATAGCCTTTGTTATTTGTTGATTGCCCAAAGGGTTGCCGCAAGACTTGATTTTTATGTTAATTCCTGCTCAGACGCTCTCGAGCTCCGGTCTATTGGACAGGTCCAACGATCGAGGTGCGCCGTTGCTCATGGTTCTACAAAGGCGCAGCGGAGTCGCGTTACACGCCTTACGAAGAAAGCATCGCCGCTAGGCTTGAGGAGGAGTTCAAGCAGGCTTGCTCGACCAATAACTGGAACAGGCGGATCGAGCTTAGTAACGGCGAGTACATCATTTTTCATGGACCGTCTGTCCAGGCCCACTATCTTCAAGCTACTACGCCCGATTTGGCCGCCTCGTGGGGAAATAATTCGGTATATTTATTTGTCAGCTCGATATTTTCTTTTCTTTATTTTCTCAACTCAGCACATACACGCATGACAAAATGTTCTCGTGCGTTATATTAAAAATTATAATTTTTTCCAAACTTTTTCTTAATTCTAAATTAATTGGTTTATCACGGCTTACTAGAAGCGTAGCTTAGGTTGGCAACTCTATAAAAGTAACCGAGCATGTTTTTACCGTACTTTTGTATCACAGATGAATATTTTGTAGCAGCGTTTAGGAATTTCAGAGATTGAAGCTGACTACCTAATGTTTATGTACTTTATACACACGTCAAGTTTGTTGAGTAAAGGTATCAAGGTACAAGCTGAGTAAAATACAATTTCTGAGTAGGACCTAGACAAAGTTTTAGCCGCAGAATATTCACAGCAGTTTTGAATTAATGCTTAAAAACGCTTTTAGCGAATGAATAATTTTTATCCCTTTGTTTATATCAACTTTAGTGTTCTTTTTTGATTTTTTGACTCGTCATCTCACTTTGCACCAATCATATAATAAACACGTGGTTCTTTTGAAATCCTGATCTATTGACAGGGTTCAGAGGACAATACATATTTGCAGGGTTCCACCAGCAGACCACGTATCGTCAAACGCGGTATGGACGAGTTTAACATTGAAGACGGGGAGCCCGAGGAAGTCGATCACATACTCTTCCTTGTCCATGGAATCGGCAGTGTCTGTGACCTTAAATTCCGCTCCGTCGAGGAAGTTGGTAGGCTTCACGTAGTTGTTATTTTATTTACTAAAATATAACTAAAACTGTGGTATACAACAAGCTTTTTTATTAAATAATATTAGTGAAAAAAATTTGTCACCCCAGCTTTTATAAAGTGTTTCTCCATAGAGGCCATGATTAGGTTTTTATGGGGGGTTACAGTATATCTGTATACTAGTAAATTGGCCACTATAGACAAATAAATCTAAAGTCAATGCAGCAAAATTCCATTTCAAATACGATATTTTCTCCAGTTGACGAGTTCCGCAGCATAGCCCTGCAGCTAGTGGAGTCTCACTACCGCAGTTCTAGTGAACAGGGTATAGTCAACCGCATTGAGGTGTTGCCGGTTTCTTGGCATGCGACACTTCATTCTGGCATCGACAAGAAACTTCAAGCCATCACACTCGAAAGCATACCCAAGTGGCGGCACTTCACCAACGACACCCTACTGGACATTCTGTTCTACACGAGTCCCGTCTATTGTGAAACTATAATGCAGACTGTGGGTGATGAGCTGAATCGGTTGTATGCACTGTTCAATCAACGTAATCCCAATTTTTGCGGTAACGTGTACCTGGGAGGACACTCACTCGGTAGTCTCATCGTTTTCGATCTTTTGTGCCATCAGAGGCCAACGGAAGAAGAGACGCTTGGAACTAATGGTTGTAGAGAAGATGGTGATGAGAACAGGGTAAGTCCTAAGATTTTTTCAAGGTCCTAAACAATGTTGATTAATCTTTATTGTTTTTTTTTTTTTTTTNTAAACATAAAACAAACAAGGTGTGACATACTTTTTAAAATATTTTCAAGTTGTATAATCTATTATGTATGACACATGAAAAGGCCCATAGATTCTTTGTCTTATTCCGAGAAAAAATAATTTAAGATTTTTTCCTAATACAGCTCATGAAGTTCTTAATGAAATTTTTTTTTTGAAATTTTGAAGCACGCCATTTTTTAATACTTTGAAAGTTTTCAGCTCATCGAAGGTGATACACCTTCTGGGCGCGCTACGCATCTATCCTCATAATTTTTTTTTTTTTTTTTTTTTTTTTTTTTTTTTTTTTTACAGGAAGATAATCTGTCAGTTAAAACTATGCCAGCTCCAATACTTAAACGTAAGCTGAGCAAAAAAGTAAACTACGTGATGGGCGCGGCTGGTACCGGACAGCCCTTCATCAACTATCCGCAATTAGCATTTGCTCCACGTGCCTTTTTCGCCTTGGGCAGTCCGATCGGTATGTTTGTGACAGTGCGCGGTATCGACAACCTCGGCGATGACTTTGTTTTACCAACCTGTCCGGCTTTCTTCAACATCTTTCATCCGTTCGATCCTGTGGCTTATAGAGTTGAATCACTGATTAATCCTGAGGCTCACAAATACAGGCCTATGCTTATACCACATCACAAGGGTAGAAAACGGATGCATCTAGGTGACTATTGCTTAGTACATTAAGTTTACTCATATATGAGATCTGAAACGCGAGAGATACTACCGTCGTGTCCTATTTTTAGTGAATTTATAAGGGTTCATGAGGCATCCACTTGCTTATGAAAATGGTTTTAATAAAATGGTTTACCCATATGATTATCAATAATATACATCAATCATGTAACAAGTGTCAAAAAGATTTTAAATTGGAGCTTTATTTAACACCTAGTTAAAAAAAGGAGTAATATGGTGATTAGGAATTAAAAAAAAAATACTTTTTGGTTAATAGAAAAAAAATCATTACGAAAATAGTTTAGGGGGGGGGGGGCTAAACAAAATTTTCTTTCATCATGTAGGGAGCTATGGGGGTATTTAGGAGTGGGGGTAGAAGGGGGACTGGAATGCCCCACCTCTATATATTCGCAACTACCATCCATAGCCCCATGGCCCCCACAAAATTATTATTTTTCATACATAGTTTCACAGATAATTTAATGCAAATGACTTGACTTTTTTTTGTGGTACCTTTTTCTACTTGCTGTACCTAAATTCAAAATCAATTTTTGAATAACCTATTTAGAATTCATAATCTGTAGTTGATGACTAAAAAAATTCTCTGATTGAGAATTGTAAATTTTTACACAAAATACTTTACTGAATAAGTTTTCTTTAGATGTGGTAAAGGGGTTGGTTTGTAGAGCACGCAGGGGGCAAAGCCCCATAAATCTATACATATATATATAGGTGCTTTGAAAAATAAGTTAACAAAATGTGAATGATATGAAGTTAAAAAGTCGAAAAAAAAAAAGTTATAATCATACGATATATTTCCATGTTTCTTATGAATGTTATTAGAAAATAAATTATGGTGCATTTTCAGAATTAAAAGAGACTATGGCTCGAGTGGGTGCAGATTTGAAACAAAGGCTGTTGGAGTCGGTGCGCAATACATGGAACTCGGTCTACCAATTAGCAATGTTCCACAAGCAGGATAATCAAACGTTGGAGCAGGAAATTGAAAAAGTCGTTGAAGAGCAGATGAACAATCCCTGCACCAACGCAATACCATGTGTGAATCAGGACGATTCTGGTGCTGATTTGAAAATCGGTAAGCTCAACGGTGGTAGAAGAGTCGACTATGTTCTACAGGAGGCGCCATTTGAGTACATCAACGAGTATATTTTTGCCATGACCAGTCATGTGTGTTATTGGTTAGTAATATTGATCAATGAGACTTTGATTCTGTTAGCGTCGAACTGACTGTGGACTGAGGAAATCAATATTTTCTTTACAGGGAATCGGAAGATACGATGCTTTTAATTCTGAAAGAAATTTATGGTTCCATGGGAATCCAGACCGATGCCCAGCTGCCACAGCAGTCCTTATCGATCGAGCGTGTCTCGACACCCACAATGTCGGCCGCTTCTAGCTACGTGAGCTCGCCTACCCAGTCCTACGGTATAGATCCAACGGCACCGGTCTCGGCAAAACTCGTTGGACCACCACCGACTACAGGATTCGTAAGGAAGTCTTGATCCAACTTCAAGTTGCACTATCAACCGCTTTCAGTGGACTGAACACGAAACATCCAGTTACGAGATGTTTAAGAATTCCTAATGACATTTCTACAGATATAAAAAAAAACAGAGACAACTCGGTCTCTTTATTTTTGTTAAAGATAATATTTTGACAGTGAAGATGTATGACTATTGTTACTGCGGTGCAAGTTGACGAAATTATATATACTGCGTTTATCGAGACATTAAATTTGTTTACTTATGTCGGTTTGAAGCTAATTGGAATTGTCGTGGGCACTTTTTGAAGCATTGGATTGAACATCTGTATTTACAGTCACAAAGCGCCTCGAGCAGTTTTGGTAAGCTTATTTAACTGGCACGGACAAACTAACCTATAACCGTTGTTTAATAGACTATTTAAAACAATTACTGTCTTTGCAAAAATGTCAGACATGGGCATTCAAATGTTTGAAGATGTGTTGAAAATTTATTTCGAAAAATTGTATCATAATGAACGTGTAGTTTCAAATGCTTGACGTAATATTGCGTATTAATGTAATTTGTACTTTTTTGTGTACCTATTTCTGAATTTTTTGCATGGATGTATACATTTTTAATACATTTTTAATAATTTTTAGAAAAAACATTTACAAATATAATATTAAAAATTAGCGTGTTAAAAAATATTGTACTTTCGAACATAAAATGTACCTGTATGCTGATTTGATGGGTGCAGAACTTGTGATGACATCTAAGTGCAAATTTTTCGGAATAAACGTGCTAAACTAATGATTTCGTAATTTCGTGCATAGCAATAAACTGAAGAGTATTCGAATCTTACATCAATGAATTAATATCGGAGATATAAAACGAACCCAATCTCTAGCTACATCCAGAAAACGCTTGATAGCCCATCTCTGACGATAGAGATACAATTCCTCTTTAATAAATTATAATTAAACAGGGGAATGAAACAAAAATTTTTTATATTTCACAAAAAATCATACTGTTACTTTAATGTTACATAAAAAATGATTCTATATAAGAAAATTAAACTGTATATAGTTGTTTTTGCTAAAAAAGCACTTATGTGCAATATATAATAAAATAAATCAATAGAACTGACATTTTTTAGTTTTTTTAATTTTTTTTTTTACTACAATTATTAACTTGACTCGAATGACAGCCTTTTGGGACTTACAGTCGAATTATTTGACATTTTTGTTTCCCATACGAGCAATACAATGATTAGTATCTAATAAAAGTGCAAAAAACTTATAGTATATTACTTTATAACACCTACAAGCACACTGGAAGTTGCATATCCTAAATTTCAATAACTTTAAAGTTTAGTTAACTACTACTATGCAAAGAGGTTATTAAGGGGTTTTAAAATTAAGGGTTATTATAGGGGTTACTAAGGGGTTACAAGAATTCAGAATATGCTAATTATTAGGTTTAAAGGTACTGCAGTGTTGGTTACACTTTAATACTTAGAAAAGAGGTTGAAATTAATGCTTGAAGTGCTAATTTTACTAGAGTTGTAGATTTCAGCTCTTTTATAACGGCTTACTGGGTTTCAAAGTTATCAATGCTTGCAATGCAACTTCTACACAAAGATTCGGCACATTGAGCATGTACACCAAAGCTAAAAAGACATTAGTTACTGCGATTGCCAGAGGAAAGTGTCTTCGATTAGTATAGTTTAATTTCGAGTAGTAAGTTAATAGTATCTCGTACATCGTATCTCGCGTATCTGCCCTGTATTTTTTGCCGTGGGACACCCGGTATGGATTACGGACAGAAGAATTAGGTTACTTTTTACCGTAAAAGCAACGGTAAAGTTGGGACACTATCATAGGTACCTTATTTTTTATACATGTGCCAAGTAAATCTTCCTAGCATTCATAGTAATTTTTTTAGTGCAGATAAAGTTTATCGGGATTCATTAATAAATTTTACTGTTGGTAATTTTTCCCTGCTGGGAAACGGTGGCTGATATCGGAGGTTGGTATAGTAGGGTTATTGTATTGTTTCCTCGCAAAAACTATTTGTTTCTTCTTCCATCAACAATATGCATTAATTTACATTAATTGACATTAATGTCATGAATATAATATTGTAATTTAGGAACAAAAATAATAAGTTGACTGAACTAAAGTTGTGTTTATTTTTTCTTTCATTTTATTTCAATTTGTACAAATAATAATACATCATTGTATGAAAATTTAGAAAATTTGTTGATTACGATTCTATGGGAAGGTTGTCGGGGCAAACGCAACTACCAGCCATGCAGGTGCATTTTCCACAATGGGAATTGCTAGTACACCCAGGATCTAAAAGATAAAGAAAAAAAAGTTGTTAAGATTTTAAGTTTATTGAGGGACGCAATAAAACATTTGTGGTGTAAGATTTTTGTTAAACGAAGAATTTTTACTATTCGTTAAATTAAAAAAATTTGTTATAAAATATTAAAAGCATAATTTAATGTGAATGTTGTATTTTTTGTGACGTTTAAAAAAAAGAATTGTCAAAAGGGTTCACTACTTATAGTTCTAAACAGATAAGCAGTTAAGTAAATCTCTATATCTTTAAAAAAAAAAATTGCATATACTTACGAGCTGCAAAATTTCCGACTATGCAGACAATAAGAATCACCAGGAATAACAGATAGGCGAGAGTTCCGTTCATTTTGAAGCTTGAGTCTTGTGGATCACTTTGAGTTCAAGACAAAACTGTGTACCCTCGAGTTCTCTCACAATCCTATTTATACGTTATTTTCGGAATAATCAATAGCTCAACAGGAAAGTGTCGGTAAAAAAATTTCTCTTTACAACATGTGCGATAACAACATGAAGTAGCCATATCAGATATTACGTTGAGGGGGTGTGACAATCTGATGACGGGAAAGATCACGGCGAATATAGAGAATCGGGGGCTTTTTGAAGATAAGTAGTTCATCATATTTGTGTTATCCATATAATCAGTAAAAAAAAAAGTTATGCCGGTTTAACATATATATATAATTAGTCGTTGTAAAGAAAATACGCTACAACCCTTTCTACCACTACAAAACGGAACAACGCTACAAAATTTCAAACCGATATAGTAAGCCCAGTTCATCAAAATAGCTGTTAAAAATAAATCAGGGGCATGGAGACCAAAAGTTCGCATATCGGTTTAAGGTGTGAAAACTGTGAAAATGAAGATTGATGCAAAACATTTTTCAGTCATTTTTGACATAAAAAAGATAAAGATAAAAAAATAAAGACTCTCAAATGAGCACGTGTATGTACAGTTTGGAAGTATTATTATGAATAGATAACGGCTCGGAGAGCGATGAATAACCTCTTTGATTTCCAGAACAGTGCAACAGAGTAAAGATCTGATAAATTAAACCATAGAAACAAAGATACCGATACTTATTACAATGCAGATGTTAGGACAGTCTTATAATTAGAGTACATCAACATCAACATCATAAGCAAATCAAATTAAAATATTTATGCATAGAATTTTCAAAATACAACATAAAATGCTACACAACTTGACTGAATAAATTTATTTGATGAAAACAAATACTTTGAACATAGTATATTTATTTTATACTTAATTTGTGTATATATATATATGTTTACCATCACTGGTTNCTCCATGCCCCTGATTTATTTTTAACAGCTATTTTGATGAACTGGGCTTACTATATCGGTTTGAAATTTTGTAGCGTTGTTCTGTTTTGTAGTGGTAGAAAGGGTTGTAGCGTATTTTCTTTACAACGACTAATTATATATATATGTTAAACCGGCATAACTTTTTTTTTTACTGATTATATGGATAACACAAATATGATGAACTACTTATCTTCAAAAAGCCCCCGATTCTCTATATTCGCCGTGATCTTTCCCGTCATCAGATTGTCACACCCCCTCAACGTAATATCTGATATGGCTACTTCATGTTGTTATCGCACATGTTGTAAAGAGAAATTTTTTTACCGACACTTTCCTGTTGAGCTATTGATTATTCCGAAAATAACGTATAAATAGGATTGTGAGAGAACTCGAGGGTACACAGTTTTGTCTTGAACTCAAAGTGATCCACAAGACTCAAGCTTCAAAATGAACGGAACTCTCGCCTATCTGTTATTCCTGGTGATTCTTATTGTCTGCATAGTCGGAAATTTTGCAGCTCGTAAGTATATGCAATTTTTTTTTTTAAAGATATAGAGATTTACTTAACTGCTTATCTGTTTAGAACTATAAGTAGTGAACCCTTTTGACAATTCTTTTTTTTAAACGTCACAAAAAATACAACATTCACATTAAATTATGCTTTTAATATTTTATAACAAATTTTTTTAATTTAACGAATAGTAAAAATTCTTCGTTTAACAAAAATCTTACACCACAAATGTTTTATTGCGTCCCTCAATAAACTTAAAATCTTAACAACTTTTTTTTCTTTATCTTTTAGATCCTGGGTGTACTAGCAATTCCCATTGTGGAAAATGCACCTGCATGGCTGGTAGTTGCGTTTGCCCCGACAACCTTCCCATAGAATCGTAATCAACAAATTTTCTAAATTTTCATACAATGATGTATTATTATTTGTACAAATTGAAATAAAAAAAAATCATTCTCAGTCAACTTATTATTTTTGCTCCTAAATTTTAGTATCATATTTATTACACTAATATGTCAATTAATGTAAATTAATGCATATTGTTGATAGAATAACGTACAAGTGGTTTTTGTAGCAAACACTGATCTTTTCAATATAAATATACAATTGATATGTTATGACCTGAGCAAAAAGAGTGTAAAACTCTTGCGTAAATGATACAACAGTGCAGATAAAGTTTATCGGGATTCATTAATAATTTTTAAAGATGTTAATTCATGCCTGCTGGGAAACGGTGGCTGATATCGGAGGTTGGTATAGTAGGGTTATTGTATTGTTTCCTCGCAAAAACTATTTGTTTCTTCTTCCATCAACAATATGCATTAATTTACATTAATTGACATTAATGTCATGAATATAATATTGTAATTTAGGAACAAAAATAATAAGTTGACTGAACTAAAGTTGTGTTTATTTTTTCTTTCATTTTATTTCAATTTGTACAAATAATAATACATCATTGTATGAAAATTTAGAAAATTTGTTGATTACGATTCTATGGGAAGGTTGTCGGGGCAAACGCAACNTTTGAGAAATAATTAAAGTAATAAAAAATATTCGTTAAAAATTCCAACATATACATTTATACCAGAAAGCAGAAACACAATAAGCTGTTTTAAAGAGTAATTCATTTGGATGGACATTTGAACTTTTCCTGATGCTTATCTTTGAAAAAGAGTCTTTGCTCTACATTCAGGGAACAATGCGCGTTGTCATTGTCACGCGAGGCACTCGCATAATTCAAAGCGAAAGAAAGGAAGCTCGTGCTCGGATGAGTTGCTCTGCTGTGCTCTCGGCTATGCTCCAAAAATCAAGTCACCCTCTTTTTTTCCAAATATGCGAAGGAGACGCATAAGCAATTGCTTCCATTTATAATGTATGTACATAATCCAGAGGACAATAACTTTTTGCCCACACTCCTGGAAACAATGGCAGTATGAAGAAAATGATAATCGGACCCAGTGACGTGTAGTTCGCGTTTGGCGAGCGAATCATGTCCTTATATATTATATGGGTATGTATGTTATTAGTCCCTAACTCTTTTTTTTATTTTTTTTATTTTTTAAGAAAAGACAAATACTCTTCAATAGAATATGTATATACTCGACATAATGTATTTGACATTTGTCGTGTAAATGTGAAAAATCACAAAAATAGCGGTTTTTGGCAATTCACCTTAGAAATTCAGTTAGAAGTTCTTGAAATTTTCAACTAGTTTTTCATCATCATACTAAAGCTTCTAAACATCTTTGAAACTTTTAGAAAACGTGACAACCATTCATGGTGACCCTGGAGTTTATTTCATTATAACTTTTCAGTTGCAATGAAAATATTGTTGATAAATATTTAATATATATATGTATATAAGAGGCGGAGGTAAATTTTTATTAAAAACATTATATCATGAAGTTTTTTTTACTACAGTTTTTCTTCCACTAAAATATAA